AAAGTTTCCGTCCTTCACATCCTGCAGCAGAAATGTAGAACATTTCAACAGAGGAACCAAAATATATAACCTCATGGTTCAAGTTAAAAAAAGGTCAGCATAATCACCAATGCTCGTTATTAAAATTAATTTGACATGAATAGTTGCTCAATGCATAATATGCTGAATATATAGATAAGATAATAAAACAGCATTAGCTTTGTTTGATTTTAAAGGATCTATTCTTTGTTACAGGATTCAGAAAATTCAGCTTTAAATATGACTGAACAATTATACAAAAATATAAGTTTACTTTTAAGCTACATTTTTTTTTAGAGATTTTATTTATTTAACAGTTTAACAAAGGAAAAAAAGTTTGAATAAAAGGTAAAATGTCAGAGCCAAATGTCTCCAGATCATTAGAAAAGAACCACTTTTTCTATATCTAAAATAAAACGCTTAATTTGTCGGCCGCCTAAACCAGATATGTTTTACCTCCAGCATGAAAATAACAGAAGCTGGAGGACGTGGATGGAAAGTTAAAACTTGCAAAATTATGTGCATTCTAAAACTTGAAAAGAGGAAGAGGAAGATGCTTTTCTCCTTTTTTTTTTACTTATTTAAAAAAAAAGTAAAACCCATGGGGGGGTGGGGGTGGGGTGCGCTCTGGGGTAAAAATATCTGAGCAGCGATCATTGTTCGGAAAAAACTTTGAGGTTACATCCAAAAAATACAGTTTTTTGTTCCAAGATCATTAAATTCCAGCTGAAGAGGAGAAGCTGAGATAATTCGTTGGTTTGGACATTTTTCACCGTTTCACAAACAGAACTTTCTACAGGGGGGGTGCAGCTGTTTTCTCCTCATGTCTGAACAATTAAAAGCAGAAGTAACTCCATAAACACCTTTATTTTGAAGGGATGGTGTATTAAGTCAGAGGGAAAGCTTTTATTTCCTGCCTTTCATGGACTTTAAGTGGTCCCTGCTGGAAACAGGCCGCGTTGTGCTGTTGAATTTGTGACTTTCTACAGTAGTAGCCATTCAAAATGTCCCCACTTTCCTTCATGGGTCCTTGGGGAGTCAAACAGCAGCATTGCATGGAGAGAGAGAAGCGGTAGGATCGCTCTGAACTTTTCTATGAAATTAAAACATGGCAGCCAATCAGGAACTGGTTGGAGGCTCAAGTTTTTTTCACCTAAGAGAATCGGATCGGGCCCAAAGTTGGCACATGCGTCGGGACCAATGGTGCGATGCGTGCTTGTACATAACTTTCTCATTAGTCCGAAGGTTTGTGAATTATTAGCAAAAATGTCGCAAAAAAATCCCATAGGAAATGAATGGGAAGAGGTAAAAAAAAAAAGTATAAAAAACAGCGCTTCACTGTGTCGGCATACATTCATGTAGAAAAACAGTTTAAAGCTCAGTTTGTAGATAAATCCTTTGTCTGTATAAAACTGAAGACGGTATGTTGATAACTGCTACGGTTTTTGTACAATCAGACCTCAAGCGCCACAAAGTTTTAGCAAAATCCAGCCTGCTAGAGTGGAGCAACTGAAATGCTAGAGTGTGAGGCAGCCATTTTTTTAAGACCAAAAAACATTTTAAACTCGCCCTCACGGCGGCATATTTATAGCTAGAGTCACCATTTTTGGTCAGTTTGTAGACTGAAACCTCTGGACCCACACAATGTCTTCGGAATTATGGTAGGACTAATACTTTTCCTTAAAAACCCTCCAGACCGACCTAAAGTCAATGAGAGTTTCAGCCTTTTTCCATTGATTTTTTAGCAGCAGAGGGGAGAAAAACGAATGAGACTATGTGTTTTCAACTCATCATAAATATTGTTCTGAATGACACACATACACCAAAGTTGGCATAGTTGGAGTCGAAGGATGACTGATGCTCACTGTGAATTTTTTTTTTTTAATAACTCATACGTTCTCCTCGCCACCCAGAGAAAATAATATTAAAAAAAGGTTTAAATAAGGAATGCTCTGCAGAGGAATTCAGGTGGATTTAAGAAAAGCAGTCTTACTTTAGTCCTGGAATGACTGTTCATCATCCTCCCTTACCTCCAGCACAGAGCCCGGTCTGTCACTGCCCCCTGCCCAGCATCAGGGCTTTCTGAGGGGGGAGATTTAAAAAGAAGTCTCATCGAATCAGAGCTGCGTCTGGATGAACCGTTTGGATCTATTTTTCACAGCTTTTGGGGCTTTTCCACAAAATGATGGTCTCCCCAAGGTGATTATATGCATTACTCTGCGATGTTAAGTGTCACCCAAGCTTTTATTGTGAAATACAGACAGACAACGATACCTAGACAGGAAATGCTATGGGGTTACCAGGGGTAACAGCAGGTCCAAAGAAGAGGGTCCAGGAGGCCTGTGATTAACTAAACATTAAACAATAATTCCAGCCACTAAATAAGGTAAAAATGTTCACTGTTCTATTCAGGAATGACATCCCATGTTATGCAATAACTTTATATTAGGAAACAAGCGCAGTGCTAACATCTGCTGGGACGGTGACGTCATTGGCCGTAATTACAAATAATTGTATCTGAAAAAACAAATCAACAGAAACGATAGTTTTACCTGCAGAAATCAAGCAGCTTTGAAAAAGTAGGCTGGATAATTTGGATTAATGGGGGGATACTTGACCTCTGGGTGACCTAAAAATTAATCTTTAACATCTCTGAAGCAACATATGATTTAATTTATTATTTTTTATTCATTTATTTATTTTTTCACTTTTACAAATGACCATTTAAAATGCACAACCCTGCTCTAAAGAAGCAATAACCATTCAGTATATCTGCTGCGCTTGTTTCATGTTGGTGGGGTTTCAGCTTCACGCAGCTGAAGCTCCTCCTATTTGATGATGCGGTGCAGGCGCTAAAGTATAGGTGCGTTGGATTTCAGTGCCCGGATCGTCCGAGGATCAGGTCTACCTGGACTCGATCCTTGGTAGTCCGTGAAAATAGGGAGGCAGGAAGAGTTAGGCTATGGATTCAAACAGGTTCAGCCTTCTGCGGCTTTCGGTGCCTGTACGCCCGGTCGCCTAGCGGCCATGACAGTTGACACACAAAGCAGGCAAAGAATGGATGCTGAACTTCTCACTTGTGTTCTGGGTGCTGATTAAATTTCTGAGGAGCTTCAGCAATTTTTTGCATCCTGAGGATCGGCCTGTTTGCACCCAGCTGATCATCTTATTCTTCAAAAGATTATTTTCCCAATTTGAGAACAGTAAAAATGCTCTTATTTGATAGACATTTCTGTTTCACAAATGTCCACTTTTATGAGGTTTTACCAATAAGCTTAATATTAAAAAAAAGACACATTCAGGGCTTATTATAGTGAATTTTTTTATTCAATAATTTCAGATTTAGCTTATTCATTTCATTATTCTGTTTATAAAGTCATCTCAAAATTTAATCTGGAAAACTGAAAAATAGGCTAAGTGTACAGCAGACCACTTTAACATTTTAAGGCTAATGATTTCTTTAGATTGGGTCATGATGTGTGTTTCCATCTTCAGAAGGTTCAGCCTACTTCGTGTTGTGAGACGGTTTCTGTTTCAGTGAATTCCTGACTTTAATACACAGTAATCAGCTCTGGGAGCTTCAAATAAAACTAAAACCAAAAGCTGCACTGGAAAAACCATCTAGAAATAAGTAAAAATGTCTTAAATTAACTGTTTTAACCCTTAATTTGAGTAGGTAAATGATGTAGTTTATCTGATATAGTCAGATAATATGTACTTGAAATAAAACAATGCAACTGTGTCTTTTAAAATGTAAATTGTCTTGTTCTATTGGCAAAATGTCTCGTTTACCCCCTCAATTCAAGAACAAATGCATTTATTTTAAGAAAAAAATGACTTATCTAGATTTCGACTTTTTCCAGTGTGAAATTTCCAGCAGGTAAGATATGATTGAAGCAGGGATAGCAGGACAGGTTTGCTTTTCTAAATCTGACTTTGAAAGAAAACCTCCGAGGAGAAGAAATTTTTAAAGGAAAAGTCGCTCATATTCAGAATCCAAACTTCTAAAAGTTCTTTAAATCTGAAATGATTCCATCCTGTTCAATAAATGATCAGTGTTTTTAATTCAGAGTCATTTTCATGTGAATGTGCTTTACTGGAGGCATCTATGTTTGTCAAAGAACACTACTGCCACCTACTGGTTAGTGACATTGTCACGGTGCGGTATCGGCTGTTGATCAAGTCCCAGTGCTGTATCTGGTGTTTGTCACAACGCGCTATTATCCAAGTCATCTTGAAAACATTCTTCTTCTAAATGTTGGCTGGATCTGACTGGCATGCTATGGGAACATCAGACCCGGGTTCACCCGCTAAATTACGTGATACCATTGAACGCAACATACGTATGTCAACACACCGTGCAAGTCACTTCTGATCTAACAATCAGAAACAAGTCTGTTTACATTCCATAATAGAGAAACAAAGTTCACTGACTATATCCTGGCTTCCTTCCATGTTGTTCTCCATTGTTTACTTCCCTGATTCTGTCTTCTTCGAAAAACTACTTCTTCAGAAATGTAAACAGAACATGAGTATTAGTTCTAGATTTCTACCACTTAATATAATAAAAATATATAGCAACAAGGTCTACAGTAGTACTGCCTTGAAGAGTTGCCTCGATGGCAAATCCTCCCTCTTCAAGTTGGCGATCCAACGACCAACCCGTCCGTGGAGGATCAGGAATCAGAAAGGTGGAATAACTCTTTTTTTCACTTTTCCCCGATGTATTCCAGCATCCAGCTGCCATGCACGTGGGCATTGTCAGTTTCACTATAGCTCTGGTGAATTTCAATGGTGAAGTCCTCTGGAAATCTTCAATAATTGTTGTTGATTGCAGATGTGTCTAGTAGTTCCCATTGATTTAGCTTGGAAAGCGGGGAGAATGGCGCTAGGCTTACCGCACCGTGACGTCAGTGCTGGAAGATGGCAGGAGGGAGGGGCTACTATATTTGGGCAAAAATGGCCGCTCCCAGACTTAGTGATCGCAACGAAAATTATTGTTTTAATTTTTTTACTGATTAAGGCTAAATTCATTAAATCACAGCCAACTTATTAGTTTAAGGTATAAAAATGGATCCACTGTTATTCCTTGATGACCGGACTTTTCCTTTCAGGATCACTGGATATTATTTTAACTGAGAGAAAAAACTGTAGCCACTTTCACAGCAAACAGACTCAAAGAAAAGTTCCTCCATCTCTTCTGACTGCATCCATCAGGGTCATGGTGGGGCTGGTGCCTCTCCTCAGCCATGGCCGAGAGGCGGGGTCCACCCTGGACAGGTCGAGGGGCAACACAGACACACAACCATGCACACATACCTAATGACACCAGTTCATGTTGTCAGACTGTTGGAGAAAGCCGGGGTACCTGGAGAGAACCCATACTGCACATGGAGAACATGCAAACTCCACGCAGAGAGGCCGGGAATCGAACCCAGAACCCACTATGATCAACATAATTCAGCACATCAACTGACATTAATATAGACTCTGAAAACTAGAACATGACCAACATTAGAAAAGATCTGCTGTAATAATGAACACTAATGGATATTGCTTCTAGTGTAAACCTAAAAACATCATGACGCTGTGGTTCCTGTGGTCTGCAGACCTCATATGGTTTTAGATTCGGACTCCTGTTTCTGTTTGCCTTAATATAATCCTACCTTCTCATCTGCTCTCATCTGTGACTCACGTACCAGAAAAACTACCTCCAAAGTCAAATTCAGTATCAAAGTCAAGTTCAGTATCAGAGTTAGCACCTAAAACAGGTGAGTGATGTGCATCTAAGGTCGTACATGCGATCCACAGCCGAGCTAATAGGCAGAAAGGCGGTTAGAAGTTTTGCAGATAAAATACAACAATATAAACGTTATGCTTCCTTTCTGCTGCAGAAGGTGGAGGAAGGTTGGAGGAAGTCAGTGCTTTGTTTACGGTTCATCTGGCTGTTTCTGCGAGGGAAAGCCTCTCATGTGAAATCAGCAATATCCTCCTGATTAGCTGGGGCTCCTCTCCTCCGATCTCACTGTAATCTTGATTCTTCTCTCCTGATGGATCTCTGGGAAGGAGAAAAGGAATCCATTTTTAAGAGATCAACATTTCTGAGACAAAAAGATGTTGGTCTGAATATAAATAAGAAAACCTTATTTTAGGTTTAATGAATTTAGAAATCCTGATTTTATTCTTAGAATAATCAAGCGACACCTTGAACCTGATCTGGCCTGCTGTGATTTTTTATGATGCGTATTCAATAGAGCAGAAAATGTTCCACATGATAATGGCATCAAACAGCTGCTGCAGATGTGTTGGCTGTAAACCACTTCCTGAAGGTTCTTCACTGCGTTAAAACCCATTTTCAACGTTTCCCTGAACTTTATCAAACTCTCAGGGAAAAGAAGCAACCCCCCCGTCTCTTTCTCTGGCTGTTTGGTATTTGAATGTTCAGCCTCAGGTCCCTGAGCAAGACCCTAAAGGCTCCCTGCTCAACAGCAGCCCTCTGCTACGTATAGGATGACATCAAAGTCAGATGACCAAATAATTGTAAGGATTAATACAGACAGACGAATAAAATTGTTCTGATTTTCTGGCAAACTTCTGCTCTGCTGAGATGATGATGATGAGGAAAACTGATGGCCTCAAAATGTTTGGGTTCCGGTAACTAATCCAGGTTTCAGTGCAAGTGTGTTGCGTATAACTTCCCAAACTCCAGACGTTGGTTTTCAGGCTGAATCTGGTCGATCCGCCAGAGTCTGGATTGAATCCAGAAATATTTGAACACTGGGCTGTGATTGGTCGGTCTGGGCTGTGATTGGTCGGTCTGATTTAGTCCAATAATAAACCAGATCTGAAAAATTAAGGCTTTTCAACCAAATGTAGACGTCGTTTGGACGTAAATCATGTCGTCTTTTTAACCAAGTTTTACTCGCTGATGTTTTCCCAACCTGGCTGCCATACGTCTCCATTTTGAAACCAACAGATTTCAATTATTTTATTTCCTACCCGTTTTATTTCCATGTTTTCACTCGTCATAGAGTCACAGATTCGTTCCTTGATAATTAAATTAACTATTTGGAAACTGCTTTGCATATTTAGTTATTGTTGACTTGTTTTAAGATTAGTTTGACTATGTTAAACATTTATGTGCCACAAAAAAGTAATGAAGTAAGATTTCAAATCTTTTTCACATCTTTGTGCGTTTTTAGTAAATCATTTTATGGTTCTCCCCTTTTGGACTTTAAGCTTTCATTATCTAAGTAATTCTGTTTTGTTTTTGGTTTATTTTCCATTTTGTGTTTTATATAAGCCCGTCTTTAGTTACTCTCTGCTGCCCCCTTGTGCCTGTCTCCTTTCGCTTAGCTCCCTTCTAGTCACTTCCATCCCCACCTGCTCCCTATCAGCCAATTATTGGAATCAGAAATACTTTAATAATCCCAGAGGGAAATTACTTTAGTTACACGCTCCAGTTACAGTTTATATATATATATATATATATATATATATATATATATATATATATATATATATATATATATATATATATATATATATATATATATATATATATATGTAAAATTAAATCCAAGTAAAATTATAAATTCAGTGATAAACACCAGCCTTTGTTCTGTCTCCCATATATACTCCCCCTGTGCAGTTCTTCAGTGCTGCTTTCTTGTTGTCTCTTTGCTCCCTGTTTGTGTTTTCTCTGACATCTTCTAGATTTTTGGTTTTTAGTGATGGTGAGATGAAGCCTCATGAGGCATTGAACCTTATTGGCAAATTGCTTCAATGATACCCACAGTTCATGAAGCTTTATATGAACATGTCGCCACCTACTGGTGGAGTGCAGAACTACAGATAGTAATATAATCTGCGATTTTTTTGCAATTGTTTTTCTATTTCTTTCCCATTCAAGTTTCTTTTAAGTTGTAAATTATTGGTCTATATCATTAAATCTTTTGGAAGTTTTTTTTGTTTAAAATGTGTTGTTAGAGAACAATCTTTTTTACTGAAAGTGCAAATTGGGCGACGATGAGCAAAATGACAGGCGTTAGTCATTGTATTAAAACCTAATAGTTTTTACACAGTTTTTGGTTTTAATCAGGTTGGAAGTTATAAGTTCATTCTTTTGGTTGAAGATTCTCAGTCAGTCCAAAAAAGTAAAAAACAGTCCATTGGACTTTGTTTCCAAGTTTGAAGACGTTTCTCTTCCATCCAGGAAGCTTTTTCAATTCAAATTGTCAGAAATAGCTTTGAGTTCTAGGCTTATACAGCACCCCAACAAAACCTTGTTTTTATTTTTAGAAAACATGCAAACTGAAACAGATGAACGGGTCCCCCCCTTTGGAATGGGGGTCGTTTGGCTTCTTTGTTAGCCTGCAATGCCCCATACCTGTCTATGTCTCTGAAAGGGTGGTCGTTAGAGGGAATTGTTGGCCTGGGTAAATCTTTTGGCTGAACCAACCAATCTAACTTGTCAGCGTTTTTACCCAATCTATATTTGTACTAGGGCAAACTATTCAAATTAGTCACATTAGCCAAAATACTTGTTAAATATTACCACAACTGTCAAAAATCTGAGGTGGGTCTCGAAGCAACAGCCTTAGGAGTGGAAGATCTCACAGCTGACGCCACCAGAAATAGTAACTGCTTTATAGAAAGCAATACTACTTAACAGTAACGTTAAAGCTGTAACCAGCTGTTTGCTCAGATTTTTAACCTCCTCCTGAAGCGGTCACATGGTTTCAGGGTAGAGAGGCTTTCGATGCATTAATTTTGGCCCCTCCCCTAAATGAATAATGCCTCCACACACGTTTGGGGGAACCGCCCCCTCCTTTACTCAACACATGCCTCAAAGCCCCGACTCATCTCATAACATCACTAGTTTTCAGTATTTTGATTTTGGACTTTGCGTCTGATGCTTTTGGTTTTTGATTAAACCTACAAGAACTCATCTCTGACTCCTTTATCTCTGCATTTGGGTCCTCAACCAACTCCACCCTCACATTGACAAATAATGCTGCAGCAAAGCTTTTCTCCTGTTGCAAAATATTCACTTTTTAATTCTGGTAGTTAAATACCAACATGAGGATCATAACTTAATGATCATGTGCAGGATGTTCATGCGCACCACATTTACAGAAAAGTAGCGGGTGCAGCTGAAATGTGATCACTTACACATGCTACGGTATGCAGATGCCCTGTCTGCGCTGCTGAAGCCAAACTCAGGGGTCACAGCCCAGCTGTCACCTGATTGGTTCAGCTGATTGTTATTTGAGGGTAACCTTTTAAAGAGCAAAAACCCACCAACAAAAATAAGCAGTAACATCACTGCTAAGATAAAACCCCACACTTTTTTCCCCTCATCCAAATGCAATCGTGTTCCAGTAAACACAGGCACATCATACAATCACCTACCTCAGAGACTTCACTGGATTTGATGTTTTATTGAACCTCCTTTGTTATTTTCATGTAAAATGAGCTTTTAGTTTAGTCAGCAGATGTGGAAGATGAAGGATGTAATTGCAGCTTTATAAATATTTCAAGGTAGGAAGTTAAGATGCAGCAGCAGAGATGCAGCAAGAAACCTTTACTTAACCTGTTCACACCTAGAGCTACACGCTCCAGCTTTTGATCAATAAAGCAGCTTGAAATGAAATTTAAGTTGCTGTAAATTTGTATTTTTTTAATTCAAACTGCAGCAGAAAGTTGGCTGAAAGTTGACTCCCAGGCGGCTGGTCTCTTATTTCCATTTCCTTTAGTCATAATAGTTTAAAGGTACACTATGCAACCAGTGTTGATTTTCCAGCGAGGCTCCCCCCAGAGGGCGAAAGTAAAAGTGCACTGTCGTAAATATGCACAGCTGTTCTCCTGGTTTCTCTGTCAAGCCAGGCGCGGTTGTTTCGAGCTTAGCAGACAGGCGAACGCAACCAATCACCATGTCTACTGCGGTAAGTGACTATTTTGTTCCAATCTTTGAGTTTGAAAATTTCGCTGTTTTCCCGCTGGTTCCGCCATGATAACTGCACAAATATCGCCACTGCGCTAGCAACGAGCATGCCTTTCACTGGGGGCGTGTAGCAGTTCTCGCCGTAAAGCAAGACCGACTTTCGCGAGACTTCTGAGCCTGTGGGTGCGGGCCGAGGGCTCCTGCAATTGCAAGTACGGTATTTCCCCTACAGACCACCAGGACGGCAGAGAAAACCTTTGTTCAACCTGAAATGAATAATTTAATCATCCAAAACGTTATGGAACACGTTAATTAACTGAAAAATGTTGCATAGTATGCCTTTAACAGTAACCCAACTTATCCACACACTTCTTACATTCAGGGACTGAAGATAAACTCTCGCTTACTGATCGTGTCTGATTCTCTGTCAGTGTCTTTTTCCACACGCTGTCTCTTCCTCTTGCAGTCCTTCTTGCTCTCTTGACCCGACCCACTCTTGTCTTCCTGCTCGTCCAAACTGCTCTCTGCCTCGGTGGCCGAAGAGGAGGACTGTGCCGAAGCAGAGGATGCACACGGACTCACAGACGGACGCTTTTGCTACAAGTCAAAATAAAGAGACGCTGAATGTTAACATTTATGTCTGCAGTGGTGAAACCACACAATCTGATGCCTGTCTGGGTTGGGATTACCTTGCCATTTGATGATAAAGACTCTTGCTTATGTAGTGCAGATGTTAGGGTCTCCAGCCTTACCACTGCTATGGAAAAATAAAAGTTAAACATTAATGCATAAAATGTGATTTTCATCTCCTGAACATTTATCAAAAACGAACCAATTTGTTCTGCTTCCCTTTTCTTCACAACGTAGGACACAGATACTGACCAGCAAAAACATGTATAGCTCAACAAGCCTTTATGAAGATCAACATGTTTCCGCCCTCAGATAGTGCTGTAATACTGGTCATAGAAGGGGGAATGATTCAGGAGAATAACAGTTAATAAATTCTAGATCTGTTATTCGTTACACTAAAGGCCAGAACACACCGATTCTGGTTTTGCTTCCGATCCGACAGAAAATTATGTCAGATGAGGTCGTAGTGTTTAGCGCTTATTGAAATTCAGTAGGGATGATTTCCAGCAGGGGAGGGCGTAGCTCCAACTGAGATGCCAGGTCGATTTTAGTTGCAGCAATTCAGCAGTAATTTCATGGGTCTGACAGGAAGACAGACGTGGCTATAAGGTAAAACACAACTGCTTTGGAGGAAAATAAAAATAAAATCTGTTAATCTCACGGAGAAAGAGTCAGTTTGGAGTCGCACATCACCTAAATAGTAAGCAGGACTGGCGCAAAAACAATGAGAAAAAAGCCTCACAAAAATCTGTCGTATGCAACCGATGCGTTCAGGACTTCAGACTGGATACAAATAGGACAAGTTACCTGAAACTTTGACGAAGAACACATTAAAATAACCTGAATCATTCAGTCTGTGTCCCTTAAACTTAACAGCAGCTTTGTTGGATTTAGCAACTCTACGGATCAAGTCGCTGGTGGAGATTCTCAGGCCCCGTCCACACGAAGTCAAAACAAACACGAAACGCTAATATTTTCCAGAACGTTTGTCGTAAAGACGGAGACGTAAAATAAATGTGATCGACCAAGTTGAAAAACAAGCTCCGCTTCTTGATAATGGGAGTCGTTCAGGTCGTTATTGGCCTGCAATGCTCAATACTGGACCATTCCTCTACAAAGGCAGTCGTTAAGGGTCATTGTTGGCCTGGCTGACCTGGTGAGATATTTTGTTCCCCTGCATAGCGATGGGGGCTGTGATGATAGCGGGAAGGGGTCTGAAAGCTGAAACCTGAGTCCACTCCCCCCGTTTAAGGTTGATTTTTAAAGAGATAAACCTAAAACAGACAGTTGGTTTGAAAGGGGTGTGAAGGAAGCTGTTTATGTTAAAAGACAGCTTGTATTTTGAGGGTGACGGAGGGAGAAAATGTACGTGGACGGCGACAGGATGTGATCCTGGTTGCTAAGCGCTGCGTTCTGTAACTCTAAGTAACTTCTCTGGTCTAAGTTAGATTACAATTTCTGTCTGTCTAAATCTGTAACCTGTCTTCTGGTTACTTAATACATAAACATCATGATGTGTTATTTAAAGAGTTTCACATGGGAAAGAATCGAGGAGAGAAAGCTGCAAGGTAGAAACACAGATATTTCCTTAAAGCCGGGCATACACTGCCCGATATTTTCAATCACACAGCTACAGCTCACACTGTATGACCAAACCGCAGCGATTAAAAGTTCACAACGTTTGTCCTCAAACTGGGCGACCCAACGGTCTGATGCGATCTACCTGCTCACACTCTACGTCTAAAACCAGGTGGGACTCAGCTCCGCAGTGAGATGGCGCTACTCGGACTTGTCCATCCGGACGCCAAACCAGTAGCAGAGGAATATGAAGCTCACTAGAGTGAAACGCGCTGCCTTGGATATTTGGGTAATTTTGTGCTGAAAGCCCTAAAAAGAAAAGGAGACGACATATTTGGACAAAGACATGGCTGAGCAAACATGGCCACTATGGTCTGTCAATTTTACAGAAAGAACTCAATTTTATTCATTGCACCCCCGCCATGCTGATGGGTTTTCCTCAGAGAGGAAGAAGAAGAAGAAGAATCCTTGTTTGCCCACTGAGCGATTTGCCCACAACCACCTTAAGACGGACGACTAATTTTAAATATGTTTGATTTTTCTCCCGACCTTACGATTCCTGATGGGGAGGTGGTCGTTAGAGGCTGATTGCCCCTCGTTACTCCCTGTACACCACGCACCATCAGGCTAAAAGTCGGCCTGATTGAAATATTCTCACACGACTGGAGAGTCGCTATTCTAATGTCAGACGGAGAGGATACAAAGAATGTATAAGTTTATTGTTCTTTTCAAACATCTGGCTAGAGGTTAAGGTTTTAATATAATGGTTATGTGAGATGGACAATCCATGGCTGAATCCAGTCATAATACTGCAAAGATTTATGATCGGAGACTGCATGTAGAGCCGACACAGTAAATAACTGCCTTCATTTCTAGAACTTGATTTTCAAGACAGATTCTTGTGCTCTCATGTGTATAGGCTAAATTCAAAGCTAGTTTGTCAAGCTTGGCAGGAGGAAGAACTCAGAGAAGAATGTTTGGCAGAGCGTAAAGCTTCTTTAAAGTGTGGTTACGTCGAGTGCTTTGACATTTAGAGCCTTTCCAGTTAACATATTAAAGCTAAAGTGTAAAATCTGACATAATTTGGGTTATTTTTCAGTTTTTAATCGAACATTTGTGACAATGATCCTTTAGTCATCATAATGTTCCTCGTGTTAGAAAAGAATTGAGGTTACTGCTGCAGAGGTTAACACGATTTTGGCTGTGGGTGATTAAAATTCAAAACTGAACATGTTTTAAAATGTCCAACAGATATAATATTCTGTATGAGTTTGAAAAGTGAAAATGGTCGCAAATGGTTTATGACTGTGCTCCCTCATTTCTACCAACATCTGGACTTTGCAACTCAGGATGATAACACTTTAGAACAGTTTTACTCAGACATCAGAGATGTATTCAGATCACCTCTCTGTCATGCCAATTCCTGCATACAAAGCCCAGCTAATCAGGGTTAAACCAACAGTGAAGGAAATCAGAGTGTGGTCCGAGGGGGCCATGGAGAAACTCAAAGACTGTTTTGAATGCTCTGACTGGAACCACCCGGGCAAAGCAATGACCCTGGATGAATGGCGAGGTTTGGAAATCGCTAAAAGCACGGAACTCAGCTTTGAAGTCTGGTGATAAGAGTGGCTCTGAGGACAGCGAAGCCAACTTGAACTGTGCCATCAGAGCAGCAAAGCAGAAACACAGCCAGAAGATCCAGGATCTCTTCCATGATGCCAGCAACACCAGGAGGATGTGGCAAGGCATACAGCAATCACAGACTACAACTCATGACATCTTACACCCCCACCATCGTAATAACACCAACAGTGAGACATGCACCTGCCAACAGGTGAAAACTTAACACAAGCTTAACTTAAAATGGAAAGGAAATCTGGACCAGATTATAATTTAGCTTCCTGTGGGCAGTCTTGACTAGAACACATTCTGCTTTGAGCAGCCTTTAGCTTAATCCTGTTCAGATTGTCCATAAAATTCGATTACTGTGAGTTTCTGTTCATAACTTCCAAAAATATCCCTAACAGGTTTTTTTCCTACAGGTGTTCAGTTTGTGAACTTCTGCCTATGGCTCATACGAACAAAGAGGCATAGAAAGAACCCGAGAATGATGAAGGAATATATTTTTTTCTCTCATTGCATTACTCTACATTTTAGAACTTGTTATATATCTCGGATGAAGCGTGAAACAGACGGATCGGTGAGTCGTCGGCAGTGATGCAGTTGCTGTATCGGACTGTCATGGTGAAGGGGAGCTGAGTCGGGGGGAAAAGCTCTCGATTTACCGATCGATCTACGTTCCCACCCTTACCTGTGGTCATGAGATCTGGGTAATGACCAAGAGGACAAGATCGCAAAAACAAGGGGTCGAAATGAGTGATGGAGAGCATTCATTAAACATAATTTAGTTCAAGACATGGAGACATTTCTGCAATCTTCCGTGCAGCACATTCTAATCTGTCCTGAAATACGAATAAAGTTTGACCTTCTTACCTGGACGTAGTGACAGAGTGAGGACAGGAACCTTTTTCCCGTTGCTTTGCTCTGTTTTACCAGTTGATTCCTCTACTTGTTCCTGCTCTTTGACCTACAGTGATTACATCATCGTTACACCCTTTTGTTCCTTGTAGTTCTTTTAACTGTAATGTGTAGAAGCTTAAATGAATTCACCTCTTGGTTGCAGTCATTGCTTGGTTCTTCTTCTTGCTGTTTGACTGCTGTGGTGGAGGAGGACCGTAGGGTGGCCACTGAAGGTGAGGACACTGGTATCTGCATATTCACATTTCTTTCCGGACTCCCCTGTAAGCTCCTCTCACATTGTAAGGTGGTGGGACTATCATCATTTGCAGGTTGGTAAGTTGTAGGCTTTGCTCGATCGGAGAGGTCCAGAGGCCCATCACAGCCGTCTCTAAGCTCTTCTCCAGACCCTTTCTGAACCTTGGGAGGGGGACTTTCCTTTTTCTCCGGAGGTTTTGCTTCATTCTCAGCATTATTTGGCATCCTGAATGTGAACACCACTGTTGGTTCTTTAGGGGCCTGAGGAACGATCTGCTTTTGCCACAGAGAACCAAAACCAGGCCGTCTGGTGGTGGATGGAGAGATTGGGGCAACCAAGTTAGGATAGCGTTGCAGATGAACCCTACTGGGAGAGGTTTGGGATGGTTGGTTGGATCCGGCTGCTGCAGCCACAGACAGCCAGTCAGCGCATTCTGGAAGGGACCAGGGCATAGGAACAGGGTTTCTCTTTATGGGTTTGGGGTGGTAGGGGATAGGAGCATGGACAACCGGCTTGCTTGGTTTCACCTCTACACTTGGGGAGGAGGAGGGCTTCTTTGGATAAGGTGGGGGAGGGATGGAAGAATGCTGTCCAGGTGTTTCAACTCTAAAAAAAGAGAAGAAAGAAAAGTGCTTCATGTTTAATACTAAAAAGAAGTGTTGGAAGATTTCTTTTTTTTACAAAATGCAAAAAGAAAAGGAAGACCAAACAAATTAGATGATTGGATTGAGACTGTTTCACTGCTTTGAGTAATCTAAGCCTTGCTTCGTCAAAGGACTGAATGTTTTAGCACTGACAGCTATTCTTTTCAGAGTTCATGATTTTCCTGACCCCCCCTGAACTGTCTCTTTAATGTGGTGGTGGTGGTGGGGGGGTTCATGCCTTGACGATCTCAAAGGCTATGTTTTCAGGGGCTTAAATGCCCCTGCTAGGGTCCCCCAGGGCAAAAGGACTCTTGGTGACTGGTCAGACTCAGACAAAACTCCCCATGAAGACAAACAAATGGAGGATTCTGACGTTGCCTGGTACAGCAGAGCCAGGACCTCATCCTGGGGCCAGGCCTGGGGTTGGGGTACATTGCGAGCACCTGGTGGTCTGGTTCTTTGGCCTATGGTACAGAGTTCCAGGCCTTCTCAGCGTCCCTGGAGAAGGGGGGATTGGGTCTGTTGGGGGACTTCAACACCCATGTGGGAAACAACCAATGGTGTAAACATCTGTAAGCAGAGACAGCATTTGTATATGGGCCCAAAACCTCTTAGGGGCCCCATCACTGACATCTGGTAGGCCCTAGGGGTGGAACGGTTCACAAAATCCACGGTTCGGTTCACGGTTTTGTTGTCACGGTTTTCGGTTCGTTATATGTTGATTGTTAGGAAAATCTATTATGTCTTGTATAGTCAAGTCAAAACTGAAAGACAAAAGCAGTCTGACATTTGCCACATCATTGTGACAGTTTTAGGTTAAAAGTAGGTGAGATTCTGGCATTGCAAAAGAGGAGACAGTGCTAGTTCCAACATGTGCTTCATTTATTTGGCAAACAATCTTTAACAAAGAAGCATAGGCTCTATCAAAACTAGACTTAAGGCCCTTTGTTTGAAATTAACGCAAGATAAAATGACATGTTTCAATTCCCTGATTATCAAAACTCAGTATGTTCTGCAGTGTTTGAAATGCAATCCAACAAATAAGGCTGGATTTCTTATCAAACTTGAAGTGCCACTGTTTTATGCTCGCACACTGTTGCACTTTTATCCCCAGCTTTCTTTCCGCCGTCATCGTAGGTCACTCTAAATGCAAAGTGGTCCCATACAGCAGACCTATAAAGTGCTGCTGGCGCGTCTTCCAACTCCTGTTCTTTCCCACTCGCCATACCCACACAATTCTCCACAACAACTGATTTTTTCCCCTGCTACACCCGGCTACGCTGCTTCGCTTCTTCTTCTTCTTGTTTACTACTGGTGGTTGGCTTTGGTCGCAGTACCGCCACCTTCTGCTCTGGAGTGTAAACGCTTCGCCTATGAGAAAAAGGAGCAGCGCATGAACCGAACGCAACACACGCGAACCGAACCGAGACAGTCGAACCGGATGTTTGGACGGTTTTCATAAACCGTTCCATCCCTAGTAGGCACCCTACACAACTGTGGACGAGGACGTCTCTTTGCAGATGTAACGGTGCGAAAAATTCCTCTTAAACCCACCTGATATTAGAAAGGCTGACCGGAACGTATTTCTACCACAACACATGCCAGATTTCAACATGATGGTGAGCCATTTAAACACGACACCAATAGCAAAGCAGACTGCGGGACTTTTAATTAATTACTATGTTAATAACTGTATAGTTCATTAGACGGTTGGTTAAAAATACACTCATATAATATGTTTAAAACCGCAATAAAGATCTTAAAAGAAAGATGTATTTGAGTATATTATTTTTTACACCACGACTTGGAATTATGGGTAACCCAGAGCTCAGATTAAACCATAAAGCTTTACGTACAATGTGTTAGAGATAGGATACCAAAAAGAGGTAATTAAGTGGATTCCAGAAAAGAAAAAGGAAAGAAGAGCTGCTGGAAGAACGAAAAAAACTTCCCAAAATAAACACGAGGAGGACGTTGCTGCTACAGTGAGAAAAGATGGCGACCAGGATATCAATGGAGAGAGCGTGGGTGAGGAGGGGGGCTCCTAAATATGCGAGGAGGTGTTTCTTTTGTGCATATTAGAACTACTTCAGGGGGTGGTATGTCCTTGGCAGATTTCTTAAAAAACAAAGTTAACAAGCCTAGTTAACAATTATATTTAGGTTTATATAGTAAATAATGTCAGTGCCAGTATCAGCATTAGTGCCTCTAAGGTTATGTTGGACCAAAAAATTTGTTTCTTTCACTCCAAGTTTTTTTCATGAATTTCTTATAGAAGAACTTTTGATATTTTTCTTAATATATTCGGGCAAGTTGGCGTTTCTTTTCATTACATTGACATTAATTACTGAAAATCTCCATATTTTTTAAATGTTACAAAGATAATAAGGTCTTATCCTGGATTCCAATAACACTATTGCCTGGAAACGTAGATTTTCAAAGTATTTCACTGAGTTCCCTATCAATGGTTAACACCCGACGAATTAATCAATGCCACATGTACCATCCTGGGTCCAACTAAACTATTCTAATCTCATGCCAGCATTGGATCAGAACCTGGTTGTTTCTGTTTGTTTCAAAAAAGCAGCCATTGGCATTATTTTCATAAATCGTTCTACTGCCACTCTTCTTATTTTTTCTCCTTAGAGGACGTTTTATTCAGAGGGGTCAAGTAACAAAGTACGAATACTTCAATACTTCATACTGTACTTAAAGCTACAGTGTTTAACTTTTAGCGACATCTAGCGGTCAGACTGCAGACCGCAGCAACATGAACATCTCCCCCCCACCGCATCTCCCCCCCAACAGTACGGCGAGCGTTACGGGACAAAATGTCTTCCACGACGTCCGCATCACCTACCTTCTCAAGTGATGAGGTTTGTTTACATAGATTATTTTAATACTGCCATCTATTGTTCAGTACCGTCTCAGTTCATCTCTCTCAACTTGCCGTAGTTACTTTCGAGCGTAATGGGCGATCTCGCAATCGCTAGTTTGTTGCCTCTGCGCTTGCCGTAGCGCAAAGATGTCTGCCTCCATGGCTGCGAGACGCGCTCCTATGTAATTATAAATAACGAATTCTAAGGCAACGCAAATATTAAGGTTAAGAGGCTGAGCTCGTAGATGATGATAAATAACATAGTTATGTATAATATATTACATTTCTGACTGTATATCCCTGTAATTATTACACACTGTAGCTTTAAGTACACTTTTTAGGTATCTATACTTTACTCCATTACTTATTTTTCTTCCAACTTCTGACTTCTATTCATTGCATTTTCACACCAGTATCTGTACTTTCTATTCCTTATATTTTTAAATCAAACGTTACTCGTTACTCTTGGCTTCGGTTTAATGTTTCTAAATCTTTATTTCCCATCATGTGCTCCATCCAATGCAGATCATTGGCTCCACCCACATCTAGTGAACACTAGTGTGATTGGATGAGTCATAGAACGCAAACACTCATTGGTTAGCTAAAGGAAACCATCAGAAGCAAGCAGGTGTTCTTCAAACTGCTAACGTGAATTGTCTATGCCATGCTACAATGTGGGATTCAGAAAAAGATGTTGAAATGTCTGAAAGGTCGGACACAGGCGAGAGCGTATCGGGAGACGGAGACCAACAAGACCTCCCTCATCCTTGGCCCTATCTCAGAGAATTTATAGAAATAGTCAAAAATTGAGTTTTCACTTCATCTAGTGGTATCTGGCTGTTTTTTTTTTTTAAAGGTTACTTTATACTTTTATACTTTAAGTAGTTTTTGGAGCAAATACTTTTTTACTTTTACTTGAGTAAAGAGGTGAAGTTGATACTTCTACTTTTACCAGAGTGTTTTTAAACTGCAGTATCTATACTTCTACTAAAGTAACAAATGTGTGAAATGTTGACACCACTGGTTTTATATTATATTACATATTTTACCTCCCCTCTGCGGGTCGAGCCGTCATGTGTTCCATCTTCCAGGACGATGCTGCGTGAGGCTTGTATACTTCCTGTGTGAGACATGAATCATTTTAATATAGTGACACAAATATATAATAATACATACAAATAGCAGCGTTTCTGATAACTTTGCTAATTTAAAAGCATTTATCCAGCTGGGGGTCAAATGAGCCACTGTTAATAGTTTAAACCCCTTTTTTTTATTTCTATGTTCTCTTTATAGTAACTATTAGTGATCAGTGTTTCACCTGAAGTGAAAAAAAAATCTAACTGGACAAGGGCACAATTTGTTTAACCAGGTAAAACATTTCAAACTACTTTTGCAGTTCAGAAGTATTTATTTATTAGACAGTGATTTATATTTTCTTTTAGCTAGCAAGGACTAATAGGTTTCTATTTAGCCTCAGGGAAAAAAAAAGAAGAAAACATGCTTAAAAGTTTAATAAAAACTCCAGATAAATGCTTTAAAAACTTACAAAACTGCCTCGGTTTGTGTTTTTTAACGGCCTGCATTCGGTTTCTGTAAAAAAAAAAGACGCAGAATGAATTAAACAGGCTTTAAACAAAGTTTCTGTGCCTTCAGCTCCTCCTCACCCTCAGCTCTGTGGTTGGCTTCTGTTTTTACCCCAATGTCTCCATCTGCTGGCTGGCTGCTGGGCCTGCTCCTGAGGGCCACGGCTCCTGAGGGCGAGAGCTCAGGAGACAGCTTTGGTTTGACGTCCATGGAGCTGCTGCTGTTCATGGAGAGTTCGCTGCGACTTCTGTTTCACACAAAGACACAATGAAGGCAGCAATGAACGGACAAAAAGGATGAAACTCTGGATATTAAACAGAAATCAACACAGTTTGATCAATTTATCACAATTAAAGGCACATTGTCTAAAGTGGGGATGCACGATATAATCGGCCCCCTATCGGTATCGGCCTTAAAACTGAATATCGGACATCGGCCACCCCACCGATATTTAACCCGATATTTGATCAGCTTCTGAGTTTCTAAAGTCTAAAAAAAATAAAAAAAAATACTAGTTGTTATTATTCCTCAAAAACTTCTTTTTTACAGACTTAAAAACTTCTAAAGACGAGGGAAAAAATATTGATCCACTAAAATATCCCAATATCTTCATATGCTGATATATTGCCATTTAAAAACACCATATCAATCTCTTTTACTAATGAAATATTGCTATATGTCATCGTTATGCTACGAAATCCCCCGAAAATTCACCAAATGTTGCCATATTTTTATATGTTGATATATTGACGCGGTATCGATCTATTTTACTAACAAAATCTCACAAGAATTTGCAAAATATCACGAGAGTTTGTAACAGAACGATGAAATTTCACCAGATTTTGAAAGTAAAATAGATCGATACCGCGTTTTTAAAAATCTATTTGATATCAGCATATGAAAATATATTTGAGTATATTATTTTTCAAAGTGTCAGAAATGGAGAACAAAACTGCTATTTTCAATGACTACTTATTTTTGTCCAGCTTTAACATCGGTATCGATATCGGTTATCGGCTACACGAGTTTTAAAATATCGGCATATCGGATATCAGCCAAAATCACAATATCGTGCATCCCTAGTCTAAAGGGGCTTTATAAAAAGAAAAATTGATTGGTTGGTTGATCAATTTGCTGATATGAAGTTTATTGATTGGACTGTCAGAGGACAGAGATTTGTTTTTTCTATTTACATTGAAGTCAAAGGGTAACACTTTAAAATGAAATTAGGGGCGTGACAAAAAAACTACATCAAAATAATCTTAGGTGACATTTAGTTTCAATCTATTCAGTTTATTTCTGTAGCTCCAATTCACATCATGTCATCTCAGGTCACTTTCCAGTTCACCAGATCATCCAGTCAGATTGATTCAAAGTTTTCTATCTAAGGAAAACCAGCTGATTGCATCGACTCATTGACTCTTCAGCAATCCCTCACACTAAGCATGCTTGTAGCGATAGTGGAGAGGAAAAACTCTCTTTGAACAGGAAGAAACCTCCAGCAGAACCAGGCTCAGTGTGAGCGGCCATCTGCTGAGGCCCACTGGGGTTCAAGGAGACAGAAGCAGACATAGAAAAAGAAGCATAGATACAAAAGGCAACTGTCAACCAGCTCCACAGGCGGCCCCGTCCAGGAAACACACAGCCAGTGAAGAGGAATAAACTAAAGTTTTAGTAAGTTGAGTCGCTCCAGGTTGGTGGTTCTGTGTTTCACAGGAAATGACCTCTAGAGATAATATCTGTTGGAAAATAAATTATGAATTAAAGCCAAAGGGAATTTGAACAGATCCAACTGGAAAGATCCAACTTTGAACACAAATTGGAAATGATTTTATGTTCAACTTAATCAAATTTGATTGACGTGTCTTTTTATCACCAGTTGAAATTTTGGTTTATTTTCTTTTAAACTATTTTTATTGAATGTTTTGACTCAATGTTCATTTTTTTTGTTTTTAATTTATATATAAATACAAAACATTGAGTAATTATGTCTTAAACTTTTGAGATATTGGTCATTTATTTCTAATGCCCAGATTTGACTAAATTGAAAAGATATTTCTTTGCCATCTTCTTCTTAATTCAGTTTTAATGTTCATATTTAGTCTTAATTACATTTATTAATTGCACTTATCCCATTCTCTAGCTCCAGTCAAAGTTGGAGATACAATATGTTTTATTTTCTGAAAATGGATGGCTGTTCAGCGTCTGAAACAGATGTTTAAAGAACTAAACAATAACATCAGTAGGGAGGATTTGAGACCTTTATTTTTAAATTAAAATGACTCACTCAAGAGCTGCTCTCAGCTTTGTGATGTCTTCTTTGAGTTTAAGATTCTCTTTCCTCAGGTTGGTCATCTCTCCAGCTATACCCCCCCAAAAAACAAATTAAAGTAAATCAGATATTTGTAAATATGGCAACACGATCTTTTTTTTATTAAATCAAGAGATTTTTTAGAGGAATTTAAAAGAAACATAATACCGAGGAGAGAGATGTGCTGCAGGCTCTGTATTTGGGAGGCTTCATATTCCTGCTGTCTTTGCTTGGCGACCTCCTGAGTTACCGTGCATCTGTCGCACAGCCCGGCTCTCAGTCTGAGCACAAGGCAGAGCAAAAGCAGGAATTAAAGACATGCAAGGCTCACCTTAGAAAAGCCAGCCTCTAACTCCACCTCACCCATTCAAGGAGCTTTTTTCATCTAGGTTTATCATGTTATCTGAACACACATTTTTAGAGGATCAGCTGATAAGTTGGGATTTCTGTAAAAATTTTCAGATTTGATGGCAGAAAAAGGAAAAATTATTTAAGGGGAGGGTTTGCCCCAACCAGCCTGATCTTATGTGACAACAGCTCCAAACTAAAACTGCTCTCCATTAACATCAGATCAAACCCATTGAAATCAGTTCAGTTTATTCCTATAGCTCCAATTCACATCATGTCATCTCAGGGAGCTGGCTCGGAGCTCGTCTGCCTGGCTGTGTGTTTCCTGGACGGGGCCGCCTGTGGAGCTGGTTGACAGTTGCCTTTTGTATCTATGCTTCTTTTTCTATGTCTGCTTCTGTCTCCTTGAACCCCAGTGGGCCTCAGCAGATGGCCGCTCACACTGAGCCTGGTTCTGCTGGAGGTTTCTTCCTGTTCAAAGGGAGTTTTTCCTCTCCACTGTTGCTACAAGCATGCTTAGTGTGAGGGATTGCTGAAGAGTCAATGAGTCGATGCAATCAGCTGGTTTTCCTTAGATAGAAACTTTGAATCAATCTGACTGGATGATCTGGTTAATTGTCTCTATAAAGTGAGCTGAGATGACATGATGTGAATTGGTGCTATAGAAATAAACTGAATAGAATTTAATTTAAGGACTCAAACATTTAAATTTTTCTGGATATCTCATTAAATTGCCTTTAAGTTCAGTTTTCAAGATGAAACCTTCTGGGTACTCCTTGTGGTCTCCTTAATTACACAAATACTTGTCTGTCTGATGTCAGGCATCTTTAACACTTCAGTTTTTAGTAGGCTTTGTTAAAGTTCACCTTTTAAACTATAGTTAATATTCTGTCTTTCTTTTTATGACACGCTGATTGCCACAGTTTTTAAACCTCAGAAAACACGTCTATATTTTCTATTGCAATAGAAATGAAACCCCTCACAGTTTACTGGAATCATTACCTGTTTTCCAGAGTCTTGATGTTTTCTGTCAGAACTCTTTGCTGCTCTTTCATCTGCTGGTTCCTGGTGAACAGTTCCTCCATCCGCTTGGTGTCACTGTTGGAACCAAATACTGCAGATCAGATTTGGCTTTTAGCGATAAAGTAAATGAAGAATTGTTTAACTTTTTAAAGGAAGAGTACACCCAAAACATGATTAGCCTTCATTTTCTACTCACCCCCATGCTGAACAACACTCTGGAGTACTTTTTTGATACCTCAAATGCATCTGGAGATCTGGGAGGCTTCTTGCTGTCTGCTGACATTCAAATAATGGAGGTCTATGGCGCCCGAGGCAGAAAGGTCCATAAAAGTCCACAAAAAACGTGTCAATATTCCTCCATACTGCTCGTCCAATGTATTCCAAGTGTCCTGAGTGGGTAGCGTCCAGAATTTACTCGAAACGAAGTCATTTAGAATGTTTTTAGAGCATAAACAGTAGTGTATAGGATTTCCTGAAAGCGCGTTCACGAGTCTACGGAAACCGCGGCAGACCAAACCAGATGAAAGTGCGCATTCAGCTCGGCAAAGAACTCATGCTCTTCCTCAACACTAAAGTCCTCAGACATTTTTCTTTCGTTGTTTCTTTCTTTGCACAGGTAAACAGCACATTTCTTCTTCTACGCTTGCATTATCGGCAGAGCAGACGCTGAATGCGCACTTTCATCTGGTTTGGTCTGCCGGCTTCCGTAGCGTCGTGAGCGTGCATGTGCGCGCTTTCAGGAAATCCTATACACTACTGTTTATGCTCTAAAAACATTCTAAATGACTTCGTTTCGAGTAAATTCTGGATGCTACCCACTCAGGAAACTTGGAATACATTGGACGAGCAGTATGGAGGAATATTGACACGTTTTTTGTGGACTTTATGGACCTTTCTGCCTCGGGCGCCATAGACCTCCATTATTTGAATGTCAGCAGACAGCAAGAAGCCTCCCAGATCTCCAGATGCATTTGAGATATCAAAAAAGTACTCCAGAGTGTTGTTCAGCATGGGGGTGAGTAGAAAATGAAGGCTAATCATGTTTTGGGTGTACTATTCCTTTAAGCTTATGCTGCTTATACTACCGCCCCCCAGTGGTAAGGAGTAGGAGAGCAATTAGCATGAAACATCAATAAATATATATATTTTTAAACAACAGCTTTTAAAGTTAGGATTGGTTTTCTGCTTTTGAAACAGACGTTAAGGTATAGCAAGTTTAACTGGTTAGAATGAAATAAAATGAACCTTAACTGTGTTTTTAAAGCCTAAAGCCTGTAGCTACGTAGGAAGGCAGAATAATGGAGTCCGTCTGTGCTCTGGTATTATGTGGACGTTGTATTGTTTGTGCAAACTTCCTAAAAATGAGGTTTATTGTTTTGTTTAATTTTCTGCTTTATCAGTTGAAGATGAAAAAAAAGGAACCGTGATTTTTGTCAAAGGAAAAGTCGCTCATATTCAGAATTCAAACTTCTGAAAGTTCTTTAAATATGAAATGATTCCATCCTGTTCAATAAATGATCAGTGTTTTTAATTCAGAGTAATTTTCATGTGAATGTGCTTTACTGGAGGCATCCATGTTTGTCAAAGAACACTACTGCCACCTACTGGTTAGTGACGTCACGGTGCGGTATCGGCTGTTGATCAAGTCCCAGTGCTGTATCTGGTGTTTGTCACAACGCGCTATTATCCAAGTCATCTTGAAAACATTCTTCTTCCAAATGTCGGCTACATATTACGGGTTTTTTCTCTGGCCAGAAGTTCGATGGCAAATCCTCCCTCTTCAAGTTGGCGATCCAACGACCAACCCGTCCGTGGAGGATCAGGAATCAGAAAGGTGGAATAACTCTTTTTTTCACTTTTCCCCGATGTATTCCAGCATCCAGCTGCCATGCACGTGGGCATTGTCAGTTTCACTATAGCTCTGGTGAATTTCAATGGTGAAGTCCTCTGGAAATCTTCAATAATTGTTGTTGATTGCAGATGTGTCTAGTAGTTCCCATTGATTTAGCTTGGAAAGCGGGGAGAATGGCGCTAGGCTTACCGCACCGTGACGTCACTGCTGGAAGATGGCAGGAGGGAGGGGCTACTATATTTGGGGGAAAATGGCCGCTCCCAGACTCAGTGATCTCAATGAAAATGATTGTTTTTATTTTTTTTTACTGATTAATGCTTAATTCATTAAATCACGGCGAACGTAATAGTTTTAGGTATAAATAATGATCCATTGATTATTACTGCTGATCAGACTTTTCCTTTAAACACACAGAGTCATCTAAACATTTAGATTTCTCAGTTAAATGCAGTTACTTAGCAAAGCAACGGCAGCCGTGGCTGTTTTCAATATCAATGTGTTAAAAATCATTTTGCAGAAAATCAAACAGCCATTTAAAGGAAACATTTTTAATCGCCCCTCCCTCATTCTGCCATCCTGACATGGCGGGGGGGATCCGTTCAGAGAAGACCAGCTTTACACCTTCTGCTTCAGGCTAAATGGGAGTTTGCCAAACTGCTCTATATGGGGTTTTCTGTCCCTAATAGTAACCAGTGGGGGGCACTCCAGGAAAACCCTTTAGGGCCCTTCAGAAGAGTTTCTTCTCCTGCAGTCGGTTTAAAGTAAATTTGTTAACTCAGCACATGTCAAATATCTTGTTCTAAATGAAGCGTGGTGTTCATATCAGTCAGTTTATGGGATTTATTTGGCCATATAAATGATATGGATCAGAAAAGGCCACCACACTATTTATAGTGCATACAATATTTCCATTCATGTGTGATTGACTCATTTTTACTCCAGCCAGCGCTGGCAGTGCTGCTAATGAGTGGAGCATAGGAATGGCATGCATCAATGAAAAAAACAACAACTAGGCAGCAAAGCCCAGCTAACTATAGATTAGCATAGTTGGAAACTTAAAGTCGACCATTTTCCCAGCTTTAACTGCCTCTGTCTTCCTAACTTATTTGCATAATGCTCTGCCTGTTCATAGATAATCCCAGATGGTTCAGCCGTCCTCAAAGCTGTCCATCCTTACAGCGTTACTGAAGCTAGTGCTCTCGTTAAAAACCTCAATAGCAGCAATCACTTAATTAGTTATAGCTAAGCTATTCAGTGGTTTATTGTGAGAATATCGGCACGAGTGCTGGCCTAATCCACAACTCTGCTCAACTCTGCCCTGCCTGCTATTAACATCGTTTCCACCTGTCTCTACCTATATACTATCTGCTCACTCCTAGCTCCACACTTGGCCCATTCTCTTTAATAAAGTCTGTTGTATTATTTTTAAAAAGAGCACTCCATTAGTGAAATGACTCGATTGAATGCTTGCTCAAATCTTTGCGAATGATTTAGAACATGTTTCTGAAAGTTTTCCGTTTCTCAGTAAGTGCTAGCCTCTGTCCTCTATCCGGGTGTTAATAACACGATGCTAACAGATGTTTTCATCAGATGTAACGCTGATGGTTAAGACCAAAGGCAGCTGGCCAATAGAGGGCGTCAGGGCGCCACCCCAGGCACCCAATGACACTGATTAAGACATAAAAGAAAAAACAAATAAAATGAAATTCTAAGATTAAAATATTAAAAAATATTTTATTATATTTTTTTAGATAAATGTGCAAGATAAAAATTTAATCTTTAATGACGAGTAAAGCTGTTTCGATCGTCGTCGGATTGGCGACGTATTTCCGCAAATCTTTGCCCATAGACTCCAGAGCGCTGACGTCACAGTCGTCTGTTAGAAAGAGCTTCTGATTGACAGGTTGATAGAATTATTTAGCTCCAAGGCTAGGCTAACTGGATGCAGCGAGGCTAACTGCATACAACGAGGCTAACTGCATGCAGCGAAGCTAACTGGATGCAGCGAGGCTAACTGCATGCAGCGAGGCTAACTGCATGCAGCGAGGCTAACTGCATGCAGCGAGGCTAACTGCATGCAGCGAAGCTAACTGGATGCAGCGAGGCTAACTGGATGCAGCGAGGCTAACTGGATGCAGCGAGGCTAACTGGATGCAGCGAGGCTAACTGCATGCAGCGAGGCTAACTGGATGCAGCGAGGCTAACTGCATGCAGCGAGGCTAACTGCATGCAGCGAAGCTAACTGCATGCAGCGAGGCTAACTGCATGCAGCGAGGCTAACTACATGCAGCAACGTCAGGATCTGAGCCAGCATGGATAGAGACAGCTAGAACTGATTTAAAGCACTTTATAGAGCATTTTAGAATTTTGTTTATAGTATACATTTGATGGGTTTTTGGTATTCATTTATTTTAAAGTTATAGCGCCCCCTGGAGGAAACTCCACCAGCCGCTGCTGGTAATAATACAACCGCGCTAAGAAGAATGGAAATGAAACCTTTAAATTAAACATCCAGGAGAAATAATTACCTTAATTTCTGCAATTAATAATAAGAACTGCAGCCATAGAAAGCTGTTGATAGTAAAGTGGATTTTTAATCAGTTCTCATCATTTTAAGCTGCTGTTTTTGGATTTACCTTTAACCCGGTAGTATCCTCAGCAGTTTTATTATCATGTGCCCCTATATGAATATCAATGATGAAAATGATTGACTGTTAATTAAACTGATCTGGTTTATATTGATTGATTTTAACCTGTTTGTTAATTTATTAAAGTATTTCTGTAGGTGTTTTTAGACCGATCGACTTTCTCATCTCCTTCTCTTTTTCTCAGACCCAAGATGAACAAATCTAAGGTATAGTGACTCAACAACAGACATGCTGCAACATGAGCTGCAAAAAAATGACATAAATGAAGATGGAGCCAGGTGCAGGTCTGGCATGCCCACCAGCCTTACTCTCTGATCCAAAAACAGTTCAGGTTTTAGCTCTCTGTTCTTACATGCACGCAAAAACGGAATGGTTCAGATAAAGCATTCTTTTTTGACTCACCAGCCCTTCTTGTTGGACAGTTCTTTGAGTTTCGCCTGCAAAGCTGAAAAAAAAAAAAGAAACATATGTAATGACAAGGAGAGAGAAAAAAAAAAAACCTTGATCGTTAGTCCTTACCTTCCACTTCTCGCTCATGAGCATCCTGCAGCTTCAGCAGGAGGTCTTTAAAGTTCTTCATTTCTCCAGCAGTCACAGCTGAACTGAGAAAGACATGAGCTTTTCATTAACGATTAATTAACTTAATTTTCCTTTTTGGACAATTGCATTTGCTCTAGCAGCGCCACACCCATAATCTAATGTTACGAAATGCTAAAAGTTGTGAAGACTAAAAAACATTTAAAACCAGAACGTTATAGCCTGAGGCCTGTTTGTGCGAGTCTGAGAACAAGAAGCGCGGTTCTCTTTGCTTTTCTAATGAGGAAGCAATTTTTTTGTAATATCGAGGAAAACTCGTTAGACTGGACCTGCCAGGTGTGGTTCTGCAGTTTATGTTTCAAAGCCATGAAGACTTTGTGTGCTTACACTGTAAAAAGATTCCCATCTCAAAGCACAGCATGCAGGAACAGATCATTTCAAGAAACTTTGCACTCAGTCACCAGCAGATTCAACATACTTAGTAAAGTTTACAGTTTCACTGTGGATGGATTTACAGACAGTTCTTCTTAACGGTTCTTTGGGGGAAAGTGATCCTACATCTGCAACATTTTCAGAATATCCTAATATTAATGTAAAAACATGAGGGAAACCTCAAGAGAGGTCTGGCTGCAAGCCTGCACTGCCAGGACCGGAAGCTAATTCCAGACGTTTTATTCCAAGCCTTCAGGAATAGCGTATAGTGCATTGTGTCTGTGCTGGCGGATATTATTAGTAATTTTATTTCCCCACCTGAACACTGGAAAAACAATCTAGAAATAAGTAAAAAATTCTTAAATTAAAGGTATTTATCCTTAATTTGAGTAGGTAAATGAGATGATTTGCCAATGTAATGAGTATTTTAACCCTTAAAATAGGATAATTAGATAAAATGCACTTGAAATAAGACAATGCAACTGTGTTTTCTTATTTTAAATGTAAATTGTCTTGTTCTATTGGCAAAAGGTCTCTTTTACCTTCTCAATTGGAGAACAAATGCACTTATTTTAAGAAAAAAGGACTTATCTAGATTTAGATTTTTTCCAGTGAAGACCAAGAAAACCACAATTTATAAGCCATAAACTATAATTCAGGATGCGTTTAACACCCGGTAAGCTGACGCCTTAACGTGGAGGGGTTGTTTGAGTGCCGGATGATTCTACGAGCTGAGTTGCCCGAGGTGTTATGTCCCTGGTAGGGTCTCACTACCAGGGACATAACGGAATGGGTCAGAATAAAGGCCTGGTTATCCTCCTGCAGCTGTGTGTTGCAGTGAGCTTCTCATAGATATTTTTGATTTCTGCCCAATATTGAAGCGTGGTCTGCGCCACAATGCAAGAGGGACAATGAGGAACTAGCGAGTTGGTCTAGATTTGGCCGAGGCGGTGAGGAAGTGGGGGCAAGTTTGTGTGACAACGGAGGGACATAAGGGCCAAAAAGAGCGGGGATCCAGGTGGAAAAGGGTCCCAGCGTTCTCACTCTTCTAGCTGGTCTATCTTCAGTTGTTTTCCACAATGGAGGTCAGATAAACAAAACAAGCCAAACTGGAAATAGGCATAGTGTAGAGCGGATGGAGATTTGACCAATCAGAGGCCTCCTGTCTGCAGCATTGTTTGCTTTCACCTAAAATTTTGGGGAGGTGCAGCAGAGTGTCTGCGGCAGGGGTGGGGGCACATTTGCGTTCACTGCGACACACACTCAGGAAACCTGGTTTGCGAGTATAAACCAGCCTGAAGAGCAGCTTGGAATACCCTTATGGAAAGGGTAAAATCAAGGACCGTGACGTTGCCCGGTGTGACGCAGCCAGGGCCTCACCCTGGAACCAGGCCTGGGGTTGGGGTTCGAGTGTGAACGCCTGTTGGCCGGACCTTTGTCCATTGGGAAAAGCCGGGCCCAGCCCGAACAGATGACATGGACCCGCCATCCTGTGGAACCGCCGCCCACAGAGGGATCCGTACACACGCAGCTTCTGGCTGTAGTGACGTGGAAAGTGATCTCGCTGGGTGGGGGAGGAGCCTGACCTTGTGTGGGAGGCTGAGAGGTACTAGCCGGATATAGTTAGCCTTACCCGCTTTCTTCCTGCTGAAAACGACCTCATGATTCCTGATCGGGAGGTGGTTGTGGGAGGCTGATCGCCCCTCGTTACCCCCTATACACTTAACAAAGAACGATCAAGCTGAAAGTCGGGCCAATCGAAAAATTCTCGCTCGACTGGAAAATCGTCCCTAAAAGGGCAAAAAAAAAAAAAGGGGACAGCTGCTTTGCTATTGGCTGCATTCTTTTTTGCTAGTGGCTGCATCAAGTCTTTTTTACCGCTTTCATCTGAGCCCCTGCAGACTCAGAGGAATTCTATCAAAGAGCAAAAACATGCTATGGGGACCTCGTTGCTAATATTTTGTTATTTTCAAACGTAGGATAATATGGGACTTTTAAAGTAAACAGAACAGTTTATTTCATTGACGCTCCTTTTTTTCATGACAATAACGAAAACTGATGAGCTAAGCATGGATCTTTGATGGTAAAAACATGAGTAATAGGTTTGAGTTTTCGTGAATGAGACGAGATTTAATAAAAAATTAGCTGGTCGTCAGTCAGACATTTAAAATGCATCTGTTAGACAAGCTAAGCAGTATCTTGCTTGGTCATGCCGCCCACCTGCCATGCAGCGCTGCACATTCTGCATGACCACAGATGGATCATGGCAGCAGCGGCAGGGTCTGAGAACCCGGAATGATCCGGTACGGCGCGCTGAACTCTGACTAACTCTGATCTTCCAGCTGTGCAGAAATGTGTCTTTGTGTGGCTTGGCTCAGAGTCTGCACTTTACGCTTCACTCTGATGGTTCGCTCTCAGCAGTTCGGCTCTTCCTGCTCTCGCTACTTAATAAACTAGATGTAGCTGATCATCCTCTGCCAAGCGTAAAAAATTCTAACAATCAAGATTTTATTTCTTCCAGCTCACAAGAGGTGATGCTAAACTTCTTTAATTTCTACCAAAAGGAATCCCTAAACTATATCCAAAGAAAATATTTCATTGCATTCTGTGTATTTTTGGATAAAGCTCCAGATTTTTCTCGTTTTTATTTATTTAAATATTATTTAAATGTTTCCTTGTACTGTCATTAAATATTTTTCTCTGTTTCCTTTAAGTATTCCAATATTTTAGTTGTTCATTTAGTTGTGGGTTGCCATGGCATTACAAAGCAATTATGCAGGTACTCTATTTTTTATATCCAAACCTTGTGAATTTAAATCTACTTTGACCCCTGAGCTGCAGTAACCAACGGGGGAATTGAAGAAATAAAGCCAAAATTGCCAAAGTAGAAAGAAGAATGTTTTTGTTCTTCAGTATTTTGGAGCAAAGAAGAATTTATTGATCTGTGTTTAATGCATAATTCATAGTAGATCAGGAAGTTTTTGCTTTGGGATCAAACCTTGGATGTCTAAAATCATTCCTTTATTTGACATTTTGTTAGCTGTCTGTTATATTAACTAATAGGATGTGTTCAACTAGATCTGCTATTTTCACTACTTTTGTGAGACACTTTTTGTATAAAGTAGGGCATTAATTCATAAAAAAGTTTTCTGCCCAACGGCAATATGATGAACTGCACTGCAGCATTCTATGGCCAGCTATTGTCAGTGTTGGGCACGTTACTTTGAAAAAGTAATTATAGTTACTAGTTACTTCTCCCAAAAAGTAACTGAGTTACGCCACAATAAAAGTAACTAGTTACTAGTAAAAGTAACTATTACGTTACTTTTGCAAGTGTATGAAATGAATAACTGGGGATGTCTAATTCTGAAATCCTGTGTTTGGGTTGTTATAGATACTGCAACATCTAGCTATATCTATCTATCTATTCCATCCATCCATCTTTCTCCCTTTCTCCATATAGGCTAATGATCATTCACTCTCTCCTCGTAGTTCCCCTGTGGCGCAAGCACAGGGCGGCTGTTGCACGCCTTTAGCTAGCATGCGCGTTTTCTGTCGCTTGCGCGGTGAATCGTGCCGCCTGCGCTGTGCGGAGATGCAGGGGAAACCGTATCTGATGGGGAAACGCAGCTCGACGTAACACCGGTATTTCAATCTGGAAAACGCTGTTTTGCTGCTGGAGTCCTCCTGACTCTCCATCCTCCCCTCTCTCATGACAAGGCGCGCACGAGTCCTATCATGAAAAAAGGTTCATTGTGCGACCTGAGTAACGTGCAGTAACGGGGTGTCGGCAATTGTAACTGCGTTATAGTTACAGTAAGAGTAATCATTTTGATCGTAGCGCCGTTAGTAACGCCGTTACGTTCAACGCCGTTACTCCCATCACTGGCTATTGTAGTATCTAGGCTAGAGCTTTCAGTCTGGGAAAGCCGGGCATACACTGTGATTTTTTGCCCTGTTAGGGCTGATTCTCCAGTTGTGCAAGAATTTTTCAATCTGGCCGACTTTCAGCCTGATGGTGCATCATGTAGCATACAGGGGGTTAACGAGGGGTGATCAGCCTCTAACGACCACCTCCCCATCAAGTTTAGCTTCTGGATAGACAAGTTAGAGCAGCGCCATCTCACTGCGGAGCGCAGTCCCACGACGTACGGTGTGAGCAGGTAGATCACATCAGAGTGTTGGACCACACCGTGTGAGAACAAACGTGAGCTGTGGACTTTTTAACCCTTTGGTTTCGTCATACAGTGGGAGGGAGGTGAGTGGGCGGAGTTTTGACTAGAGGTGGGCGACAATTTTTAATCAATACGATACCAAGTAATTACAGCGTCAGTATTGCCAATATTGATACGATAGCGATACTTTTTACATTTAAACTTGATGGATCATGGAACTGTTGACATTTCTGTGTTTTCGTGATTTTTTTCATTTTATTGTTACAATTGAATAATAATAGTATGTCCTGTTCATAGTGTTTTTTTCCTAGTGTTTTTTTCCTAATCTACCGCTTATATAATCTCTTTCAATCCTTATGTAATTCTTGTATTTCAGAGTTGGGTCCACTAACATGTGACGTATAATGTTTCATTTGAACGTTAATATGAAGATGATCAGTCTTATCTACCTGGATATTCTCTGGAGGTCTGAAACGTCAGTGACGTCTGTCTGAGGGTCGAGGGTCTGCTGGGGCAATAAGCGAAGTTTGGTTTCCTCTCCCCGTTTCTATAGCGCTGCTTTTTCTTGCTCGTGGTTCTTTATGTGCTTACATAAACTTGTTGTGTTTCCACAGAATTTAAATGGCTTTTTACAAACCATACAGCTCGTTTCATTTACGGCATTAAATTATAGCCAAACGGCGCTTTGTTCCCTCTTCTGCGTCTTTTTCTGCTCCAGTCTGAGGAACAGTGCGGTTGTTTGCGTGTCGAGTGGACAGAGAGCTGAGTGGGCGGGGCCAGTGACGAGAGGTGAGGGGGGAGCAGCAAAGTGCTGTTACACAGATGGGGAGATTGGTGAATCTGCTGCAGTTAGTGCGTGCGGGAGAGAATAAATAGCATCGATCTTGTTAAACAAATATGGTTCAATATCAATACCAGCGCCGGTATCGATAATATCGATCCTAGAAACAATTCGCCTACCTCTAGTGTTGATGTCCGAACGTTGCGTTCAATGTATCACGATCAGAGCCAAGGTGAATTTTAACGCAGTTCTCTTGCCGAGTCAGTGGACCCAGGTAGACATGGGTCAGTGAGCTGTTCCCACTGCCACCAAAAGCCCATTTTTATCTGGTTTTAGCGGCTTTTTCGGTCATTAGAAAGGTATATGTTTTAATTTTAATATATTCTGTCGGAGAACGTAGAGGAACCGTGGCTAACTGCTAATGTTGCTAATGCTACATCCACAACAACATGCATACACATATGTTAAATTCTCATACAAATGAGCTTGAAGTATTTTTTTCCTAAAAATCATAAAACGTGAATTTAAAGAGAATTTCAGAAGGATTTCATGAGTAAAACACTGTTAAAAAGGTCTAACAGTTATTGATACTGGAACTCAAATTTAGATCAGCGCTAATATTCAGCATTTTGATCAGTGGAGTTTCAGCTCTCTTTTGCATGTCAGGATATGTTGGAAAAGAGGCAGATCAGTTGAGCAGAGCAAGAAAAGACCTGTCTGCCTCAGGTTGCTGGTTCTGCTATCCCAGCTCTTTATTCACACCCCTCCCTTCCCCTCACACACACACACACACACACACACACACACGTTTGATAATACTCACATATTATATCCACCTCACTTCTTTAAACTGCATAAAAAACATCTGCATCAAATTTCTGGGTCAGTTGATCGACGTTCTCCGACGCTCAGTGCTCATATGAGCTCACCGTGCCACACACCTGTAAAGCAACACATGAGACAATGGCAAACACGTTTCACTCCTGCAGTTGCCATGTAAGCTGGACAGTTAGAGTTTAAATAAAACCTGAGCTGAGCAGTGAGGGAGAAAGTTCTGTTAAAGCCAACAGCAGGTAGAACTCTGGTTCTGTGAGGAAAAGGAGCAACACACGGATTTTGGTTCATTTCTTTATCAACAATCACAGGAAACCTGCTGAAAAAATGTGGTTTAAGGACTCATTTTTCACACATTTTTACATAAAAATTTTACTCTCACACATTAAATCCTCTCAACATAAAGAAAAGCAAAAACAAATGAAAAAGAAGCTACAACTATACAATTTATATGATATAAATATTAGTTTATACAAAACATTCATAAAAAAAAAAACCTCAATCAAACGGATAAATCGATAAACTGTTTCCTGTACAGATGCTTACTCCTTGCAGTGCCTACCAGAAACTCCACTTCCCATCTATAAGCCAGTCTTTCCTGGCCTTCAGGTCAAACCTTTGCCAAATTCAAACTCACCTCGCTCCGCCTGGGAACACCCGCTCCGGCGCTCTCGGGTCCCGTTTTCCACCGTCCTTCTCCAAACTCCTACATGGGCTGAAAGTTTGAAAGAGGAGAGAAACGCGCAAAGAAAAGCAGAGCAGCAGAGGAGACTAAGGAGAAGGATAACGCCCCATACACCCCCACCCCACCTTGCCTTTTTGTCTCTCTCTCTCCCTCTCTCATCTCCTCATAGGAGAAAACCGGTTGGATCGGTCCTCCCCATGAGGAACACAAACACTGAGGCCTGGGCAAGTTCTCCCTTGTTATTCCTGTTCTGCTGAAATCCCACAAAACCGGTTAAACTGGCTCCATAAACACTTGTGATAGAGGGACAGAAGCAAAGCAGGGAGAAACAAGCTTTAATAATTGTTTATGTTAAACAAGTCCAATGATTTTCCTATGTCTATGATGCAGAAAAAAAAGGGCAGTGGATTAAATAAGATCATTTTAAAGCTTCACTTGAAAACTTTCATGTTAAATTACGACAACAATAAATAACATGGAAGAGCTTCTATTGTTGTGGGATAGAAAAAAAAAGGCTTTACTGAGTTCAAACATGTCAAACAATCAGCAGAGTGTGATAAAGATGGCGGCCGTGTCCCTGCTATGTCAATGTGGAAGCAAACAGCAGACAATAGCAGTGGATGGCCCAGTGCTACAGAGACATAATTCTTGACTTGATGTGATGTTGAAAAAAACAAAACAAAAATGCTTCAAGTCTTCCTGATTCCAAAAAGCAGATTCCTCATAACCGGTCAGACTGGACAGAGCTGGGCATCTTCATCGTCATTACGCCCGCCACTCCCCAATAGGAGAGCTCACACACACCTACAGCTTTAAGAAGATCTATGGATCTTTTAATCATTCATTTTCCTGTTTTCATTCTGAAGATGAAGCTGTAGAAAGTTTCAAGACACTTGGAGGCCTGGGTTAGGCAAAGGTTCATTCATATTGATGATGAGAGCCAAGCAGCATGAGCAGAATGATTCAATGAAACCTAAATGTTGATACTGAAACGTCACTGTGGCTCTGTAATGCTATTCATAGCATCTCTATGAGGGCCTGTTTACACATTCAAATAGCAATTTCTCAACTGAGAAAACCACCAACTATCATGTGAACCAAATACAGAGCTGCAGGTATGGAGAACGATTCCAGGAAGAGGGTTAGCCGTTTCTTAGACTGGCTAGAAAACCGGATTGAAAAAAAAAAAAAAATCAGCTAATCACCAAAATGAAACTGTGCACTGGCTCTGCAGGAGGAACACAAAGCCGTGATGAGGTAAAGGCTTCTGGCCAATCCGAAAACCCAGGTTCAGATATAAATTAATGTTTATTTCTTTTCCCGATTTTTCAAACCAAAATGTTGCTGCCTGGCAGAAACCCCACGAGTCGATACAAAGGAATGATTTCAGGTCAAATAGTTTTGCTGACATTTTGATTTGTAGTTTTTTGACCCCATGGAGAATCTCACGGTGAAACTGAGTTTTATTGTTTTATTTACTGAAAGCAACAAGAAGCTGGAAGCGGAGAGCTGCAGGAAGTCAGCTGAACTTTCTGATTGGGGAGAAAGCAGACTGATCAGGAAAGAGTTGGCTGATGACAACAGATTCATTTCACAAAGGATGTTTAACAAACTTAGACTCAAATCCTCTGAAATTATCTAGCCTAAGGTATGAAATTCTTAGTTTTTGGTTTCCCAACAGCTGCTGTCAGTTAGTTTAATCAAATCTGAGTAGGTCAACTCGAAGTTCTGCACATGCTTGAATGAAAACTCATTATTAGTGGAGATTAATCGAGTTACCATGACAACAGGAACAGCATATCACACACCACTGGAACTAAAGATTTTAAAGCAGAATTGAGATTAAAAAATACGGAGCAACAGCGCTACAGCTACAAATGTTGGAGAAGATTGACTGATTAAGACGGGTAAGAGGTGAAGATCAGAGACAGGCTGAGGTTCACTGGTTGTCTGAAGCGATAACAGAGTCCACATGAAAAGAGATTCACAAGAGACAAATTTCAACAAGAGGGATATTCCTGGTTTAGGGATTTGGCTGGAATACCATCAGGGGGAATCATCCAGGAAACAGAGATGATCCTTCACCTCCTTATGTAAACACTAGTAATCTTGATTGATTGAGAAATGTTCCCAGGTGTGCAGCAACACGGGTCACCCAGCTACCAGCAAACTTCCTCTCTGTGACAGGAAGCTCACTCACACCCCAAAAACACCCCCAGAGACCCTAACATTACCCCTGCTGAAGCCCAAAAGTCCCGAACAAGGTGAGAGTCCAAAGTAAAAGAAGGAGGGATCCAAGACCGTTCCTCAGGTCCATAACCCTCCAAATCAACCAGATGCTGAAAACCCGGGTTACAGTAGCACCCGATCCAAAATCTCCCACTCAGGGAAGGCTGGATACCCCCCAATGTCTGGGGCAGCTGGAGGGGGACTGGATGGAGGACAAATGGGACAGGACAGGATTGATCAGAGAGACGTGAAAAACAGGGTGAATCTTAAAATGATCCGGCAGCTTGAAGCGAACCGCAGAGCGGCAGAGCTCTCCCTGGATTTTAAATGAACTAATGGGTCTGGGAACAAATTTTATGATTAGAGGATTTTAGATTGAGGTCAAAAATTCAAAGCCAAACCAGGAGAAACTGGAGAGCGGGAATCTTTCTCCCATCGGTCAGACTTTGATTTGTTTCCACAGACAGGTTTAAGGCAGAGACTCTCAGGTTCCAGAGCCGTCTGCAGTGCTGAATGTTTGACAGAGTTCCCAGCAATGTCCTGCTCGTCACATGGAAACACGGGAGGTTGGAGACAGACCAGTAGCAGAGGAAGTGGGAAACTCTTGTGCACGTTCTACCCAAGTCAACCGAGCACTCCATGATGATGGGGTGAGGGATGCCTCAGGCTCCTGGTTCATGTGTTCAGATTGAGCATTAGTTTGGGGATGAAAACCTGAACTGTGAGCAGTCTTACGTCTTGTACAACTCTAATAACATTTAATTTCTTAAAGTGCAGCAGTGATCAAATGTAAACAGTGTGGGAGAAAAAAAAACAAATGCATTGATATGGAAGTTCAGAGCATTAATATATATGCTTCAATTTTGCAGTATTTTTGGGTTGGTGTTATCAGTGTGATGCATGGTCTAGATTAGAGTTTAACAGTTGATCAGTGTGATGGCGGCGGGGAAGAAGCTGCTGCAGAACCTGCTGGTCCTGCATTGAAAGCTGTGAAGCCTCTTCCCAGAGGGCAGCAGGGAGAACAGTCCATGGTGGGGGGGTGAGGGGTCATTGATGATGTCACGGGCTCGGGACACGCAGCGCTGGGATGAAATGTCTTTAATGGAGGGAAGAGGAGCCCCCATGATCCTCTCTGCTGTTCTCACCTTCTTCCAGTCTGAGGCGCTGCAGCCTCCACACCACACAGTGAGACAGCTGCTCAGAGCGCTCTCTATGGTGCTTCTGGAGAAGGTGGGGAGGATGGGGGGGGACAGGTGGGCTCTCCTCATCCTCCGCAGGAAGTCAAAGCTCTTCTGGGCCCTTTGGACCAGTGAGGTGGTGTTTCCAGTCCAGGTGAGGGTGTCTGTGATGAATGTGGTGCTGCTGACCACCTCTACAGCTGAGCTGTTGATGAGCAGTGGAGCGTGGTTAGGACGGTTCTTCCTGAAGTCCACCATGATCTCCTTGGTCTTCTCCACCTTCAGGATCAGGCTGTTATCTCTGCTCCACCAGCTGCTCCACCTCCTCTCTGTAGTCCAGGTCGTTGTCGTCTCTGATGAGGCCCACCACCGTGGTGTCGTCTGCAAACTTCACCATGTGATCGGTGGTGAACCTGGGGACGCAGTGGTGTGTCATCAGGGTGAACAGCAGGGGGCTCAGGACGCAGCCCTGAGGGGAGCCTGTGCTTATGGTGATGAGGAAAAGGCATTACTGAACAGCTTACTGTAAACTTGAATGGTCCCGAAACCAATTTAAACAATGTTGAGGCCAGAGGTTGGGTTGACGTGCCACTCTTTTTATCTGGACAACATAAATTCAACAAAAATTGTTGATCCAGCCATTAAATTCCTTGCATGGCTAAAACCAGGAGCAGGGAAAGTAGATGAGGCATGAAGGGAATCAAGGCAGTGGAGTCACACATGCGAAGCGTCAAAATCCAGTTACAGAGAAGCAGCAGGTGTTTCTATGTTCTGTTCCACTATTGTCTCTGCAACGCCTCCACAGCGTCTCCCACATACACAACAGAGCCAGTAGCACCCATTCTCTGGATAATGATTAGGGATACGCCTACAATGAAAGCAGAGGGATTGACTATGGAGCAAAACAGTTCAGTAGTTGTTAAAATTAGATCTTCTTTGTGCGTTTTTAGCTTTCTTCCTCTAGTTTTCCATCTAAGAAAAACCAGCTGATTGCATCGACTCATTGACTCTTCAGCAATCCCTCACACTAAGCATGCTTGTAGCGACAGTGGAGAGGAAAAACTCCCTTTGAACAGGAAGAAACCTCCAGCAGAACCAGGCTCAGTGTGAGCGGCCATCTGCTGAGGCCGACTGGGGTTCAAGGAGACAGAAGCAGACATAGAAAAAGAAGCATAGATACAAAAGGCAACTGTCAACCAGCTCCACAGGCGGCCCCGTCCAGGAAACACACAGCCAGGCAGACGAGCTCCGAGCCAGCTCCCATGTCAGAGGATGAAGAGAGCACATCCAGTTAGTCACAGTCAGAGAAACAGGACTACACTGGAAAACAGGCAACTATAAAATATAGGAGTGAGACTTAAAGACTTAAGAAGGGAAAAAAGACTTTAACATTTTTTTTTGCGGCTCCAGACAGATTTGTTTTTTGCTTTTTGTCTAAAATGGATCTTTAAAGAGTTTGGGTTGCCGCCCCCTGCTGTAGGGAGAACAGTTGACAGTGGGTGTCGCTACTGGAGCAACACCATGAGTGAGGCTCTTGTTGGATTTAATCAGTACCATTTTATGTTTAAGGTAAACTAACACATGGTAGATAGGCAAAATTAAAAAGTATATTTATACCTAAATATACCTGCTTATGCCGTGCAAGAAGAAAGATAAAATGTTCCTCACAGTTGCTTTGTTCTATTAAGCCCAAATTATGTGTAAATAAAGTATTTCTTTGAATGAG